GACTATACCTTTGCTAAAGAGCTCATTATTGTATATGTTGTATCTGTATGCATGGGCTAACCGACGACTCTTTACCTAATTGTGTAAGACCTCAAGAATTGCTGAAGACATCGTATAATTGTGATCACAATGCATTGAATGTGTGTATCCGAAAGAGAGAAACGTAATAATTATGAATATGTGTATGTCTAATATATTGCTTTGAGATTTATGTTATTATGATTCCTTGTATTCCATGACCACGATTGTGCTATTATGTTAATCTTTAAAGTAATATTATGTTTTAAATGATAAGATAGGTGCTTATCATTACTGATAATTTTAGGGAAGCAAGATGACGAATCTGCAGGGAAGAGTTAGGCTGCTAGATATTTTTGTAGACTTTAGATTAATTACATATTTAATGAATACCAGCATGTAAATCATTTTAAATTTGCTGTATTGGTAGAGAATGACCCTGGGGTTTATGTCATGATAGAGATGAATTTTGCTTATAGTATTCCATTCAACTTCCCTAGGAGTAAGATACACCAAACCTTATGTATATATATGTATACGGGTACAGTTAGAACCCCAGTAGCCCTTACTTACCTATACACTTACCATGACCACACTCTCTAGGAAGACCTACTCGTTGGACCTTTGAGCGCGTCACGGGGACAGAGGTCAGAGCTGACTCTGGCGATGGGTATCTGGGATTTGATGACAACCTAGACTCCGAGGACCTAGCCGAGATAGAGAGTTAGAATGCTGGAGATGAGTATAACGGAGGTTGCTCTGGGATCCTTTTTGTAGTGTTTGGTGTTGTAATTATTATTTTGATCTTTAAATACTCAAACATACAGTTTGTAAATTAATATACTGTATTGTGAAGTTTATGTATAGCCTTTTTCTTTACTTTTGATTATGGTAATTTCGGAAGTTTTATGTTATTACACTATTCTATTAATTTAAATGGAAATATTTGATTAAATTGTAGTAATTACTTCCGAGAAAATTTTATGGTATTCGAATTTCATATTGAAATTGAATTGAAATGGAAAATTATTTATATGTACTGAATTTGAAATAAGGACGTTACATCAAACACACCAAAGTGATTTCAAGCAATGTGAAGAAGAAAGAACAAAATGCAGATGATACCTGACTTCATTGCTTAACTTTTCTTTTATTCACCTGCAAATGTTTGTAATGGTAGGCAGAAGTGCTTCAAGACTGCAAAGTACATAAAACTGATTTCAAATTTATACTATAGAAAAAGAATATAAGAATCATGTATAATGTTACCTTGTGATTTCATTTGAAAGATTCTTTGCGAAAGTAGAAGGCAAAAAAATGTTGAAAGGAAAGTTTACAGTAAAATCCTTTGATAGAACCTAGTATGTAAAAATAATGTGAAGAAGAGTAAACCAAATATGAAGAAGTAATAAAAGAAGGAATAATCAAACATGATGACAGAAAAATAAAACTCACTGGTTACCTCTTCTTCTATTCACTTGCAAAAGTTTGTAATGGGAGGCAGAAAGAGCTTCAATATCACAAAGCACATAAAACTTATTTTAAATTTTCAATAGACTACTTGATGATAGGTTTTATTTATTTTTTTAGATGTTAATTGAGTTTCCCTTCCTCTGTAAGTTATTGAAATGAATTCCAATACATCTTGCCAAGATAACATGCCAGTATAGAAAATGACAAATAATAAATGACATTGTCAGGTTATAATTATTACTTTTTCATTAGTTGAAATTTGAAATTTGAAATTTGAAATCTGAAGTAGAATAAAATTTTTAAGAATAGAAAGGGATAAAGAAGAGTGCTGGAGAAGCTTTTCATGAAGTACTGACACCTCATCAAACTTTCCACAAAATGGTACTCAATTGTATATATTATAGATATATAACCATTCTTATAATTAATACAAGTAAATTTAATAACCATATTAATTAATATCATAATTACCTCTTTGTTCCGAACACGATCTTGCTGCTATCAGAAGGGCCTACATTGTAGCCCATCGTTCTGTCATATATCATGATCCTGCTATACAGCATGGTCTTCCTATTCCATACCTACACCAAAGCTATAAGGCGTATGTATCTTCCTTGTGTTCTAACCAAAGCTGCAATGAAAACAAATTTCTCGGGTATAGCTTTCCATCAAGGATGTGAGGGCGTTTCTACCAAAAGGCTAATTCAATAATGTCAATATGTTCTACAACAACCTTCCCATAAATTTTAGTAGACTTCACATTTCCCAATGAATGAGACCATTGTCTAACTTGTTCAAAAAACTGAGGATCCTTATTGGAACATTATTGCTAATTTATTGTAGTCAATAGCCAATTCCTCAATTTTATTTTGCATCTGAAAACCCTTCAAACTATTATGTGCTTCCTTTTTGCTTTTATTAGATGCAAGCTTCCAGAAACAAGAGTTATATTTATTGTTGATCATTCAAATGACAAATATTCTGCCTCTACAGAAGATATACTTGAAGAGAAGGAAGGAGGATACTGCATTTCCTTTTCTGGGAAGAATTTACCCCACTTTCTCACAAAGAAAGACGAGAAGAAAAAGTAACAATGGAAAGTACTTTGCTAGTACATCTTTCATAGCACTTAAAGGTCTCCTTGTAAACAAAAGTATACTCATTGCAAACCCATAGATTGAGCCAAGGGGATAAAAGTGAGCAAATTTACTTAGTCAATCATCAATCATCTATATAGTGTCTTTGCCATTTGATTTTAGAAGGCCCTTAATAAAATTCATAGCCACACTTCATCTCACTCTTTTAGGTATTGGTAAGGGCTGTAAAGAACCAGGTGCTGCCATTATTTCATAATTGCATCTAATACAGATTTCACATTACTGGATGAATTTCTAAATATCATTGAATATTCCTTTCTAATAGAACACTTGTTTGATTCACTTTTCATATTTGTTGGTTCAAACTAAAAGCCTTAATAGCTTCTACCTTTCTAGGATCAGTGGTAATACCTTTAGCATATGTGAAATGCCGTAAGTACTCCACTTTGCTCATAATAAAGGTGCATTTAGACTGTGTACATCATACTTGTCATATCATAGTATTTGTAAATGCTCTAAATGTTATTTTTTCCCATTGCTCTAAACAAGCATATCATCAAAAAAATACAAACACTAACTTCCTAAGTTGCTATGCAAAAATAGCACTCATAGCTCTTTGGAAAGTTGTTAGGGCATTTGTCAGGACAAATGGCATCACAATGTATTCATACTAATATGAGTGTGTTTGAAATGCAGTGTCTTCAGTCCTCATCTGAATTTGATAGTACCTAGACTTTAAATCTAGCTTAAAGTAAATACAAGCATGACTTAATTTTTCAAACAAGTCTTCTCCCAATGGAATGGGAAAGCTATTTCTAACAATGTTATTGTTAAGACCTCTATAATCAACACACATGCGCCAACTACCATCTTTTTTCCTTACAAGAACAACTAGAGCTTCAAAAAGGATGAACTTGGCTGGATAAATCCCGCCTCCAACTTCTTTACCATTTTCTCTATAATATTTTTTTGTGCATGAGAACATCGATATAGTCTGACACTTTTGGGATTTGCACCTTCCTTCAAAGTAATTTTATATTCTCCTATTGGACGGTAATTGCTTAGGTTTAACAAAGACATCTCCAAACTCTGACAGAAATGCTTGCAATTCCTCATGATCAGTTTGCTCAAGGCCTCTTTTAATAACACAATAAATCGTCTTAGTCGAGAACAATTTTCCTTCACTAGCATTTTATTAAGTCTTAATTTAGAAACTTCTTTATTTTGAACTCCTTCATAGCAACCAATTTAACTTTGGAACCCCCTTGTTAAACTCTATTTCCAACTTGCTGTAGTCTAACTCAATCTTTCTTAATCCTCTTAACCAATACATTCTTAAAATCATGTCACAACCTATCAAAGGAATGATAATGGCATCAATTTGAAATCAATGGCCGAAGTGACTTAACTTCCTTCACAACTCCTCCTACCCTTCTTTCATTATGGATAAATCTACAAAATTGTAAGTATTACCTGAATCCACTAAAATATATATTCTTCTTTTTCTCAGCGACCCACTAATTCTTATTATGGAATATCTATCATCTTATGTAGCATTTATGGACACCACAGGTCCTATCCTTTGCCTAATAACTTAAGTCAGAACAATACTTTTATTACTTAAACAAGTTTCTGAGTAAGAAGAAGTAATAAAGAGGAAAAGAGGTAGAAGAAAAACAAGAATTTTTTGGATTATTTATTAATTTTTCAAAATAATATAAATATTTTTCAGAACTATTTTATAAATAATAAAATCTTCACTAAGCTTCAATTCTTTTTCCTGCTTACAAGGATGTTAGATGCATGATTTTAAAATTTGACACCCTTGAGTAGTATTTTTGTGATAGAATGGGCACGAACTAATTAATTGAGAGTAAATAATTTAGAATTAGATGGGGGAGAAAATTTTAGAATGCCGTGTTTGATAATCATGATTAAATCGTTGTCTAAAATGTATAAGGATTCTTCTCGTCTCTCTCTAGCTAGAGCTCTACCCCGTTCATTTTGAGTGTGGACTAAAGCAACTCTGTGAAGTCAGACTCAACCGATTCAATCCTGAACAAGTCAAACTCGTAGAGAATTAAATATTTAGTACTCATACATCTTAACTAAGGTCATTTTTTAAATTTTTAAAAAAATATTCATATATTTAAAAAATAAAATAAAATATTATTAAAAAAATGCATAGCAAGTATCTTTTTAGTGAAAATTCCATACTTGTTTTTTCTAAAAATCACTTTATGTATTTAAAATCATTAAAAGAATTAAAAAAAAGTTTAATTTTTCCCTTATTACCAAAGAAAATATGCGATTGATGTTAACCATGAGTGTTCACACGTAGCCAGTGGAGCGAACTAGGGGAGTTCAAGATGAGATGTCCACACATATCGGCGTGAAAAGGAAACAATTAAAAAAATAAAGAAAATGGATATAAATGGGTTCAGCGCTGGCTCGTGGAAGGCACACGCTTGATGCGTCTCTCTCTCTCTCTCTCTCTCTCTCTCTCTCTGGGATGCGATTCAGATTGGGTCCTTTCCTTGACAACAGCAATCAGCACATCCCTCACTCGAATGCGAAAATGGATCAGTGGAAGCCGCAAGACTCTGCTTCAGACTCAGCATCTCAACACGTCACTGTCAACCCTAACCGCTTCCGCAACTCACAGCTCTCGAGGTTTGTTCGATAACTGTTTTCAGTTACTAACTAACTTATTAACTAACCGTTTTGTTTTTGTTGTTGTTGTTGTGCAGAGAGAGGGAGAGGGGTGAAGGAGGAGAAGGTGAGGATCCCAGCGCTGCACGAAAGGTTCAGAAGGCAGACCGCGAGAAACTCAGAAGGGATCGACTCAATGAACACTTTCAAGAGTTAGGAAACACGTTAGGTTCGTTACCTCAATCAACACGTTAACACAACAATCCATTCATCCCCAACCCTTTTACATTGTTTAATGAATATTAATTGCGTTTATTTAATAAACTCTTTTTAAATAATGACTTATACCATAAATTTAACAGTAAAACTTATTAAAATAAATTAAAAATAACTAATTTTGATAAGCTATGTTAAGAAGTTTATAGAAATAAGTTGTAAATATCTCAGGGGAGTCATAAGTTATTTTGTATAAACTGTTTATAAGCTCTCTCAATCAAATCCTAAGAGGATATAACATAGAGCTTATTTAATTCATCAGTTGTAGAGTCGATTTTAATCAACTACAAACAATAAGATTTTATTAGAAAAGAAAGCCTTTATTATATTTTTATATTTTTTATGCAATAAATGTTTTCTTTGTCAATAAAATTTCATTAGTTTTAGATGCATTAATTCAATTTGGACAAATGTTACAAAATCCCAAATTTTGATGCATCACAAAGACACATATCATTCACTCTATTCTTTTCTTTTTTGTATTTCTAGGCTTAAATATGCTTTCTGTTCTTAAATATATATATATCAAAATTTCCAAATTTTCTTTTTTGTTTCCTTTAAACTTTGAGTTTTGATTATGTATCTTGTTAATTTTTAAAATGTGAGTTTTTTTCTTTTTTATTGTTATCATACAAGGGTTGACTTGCTTGCCTGATGCCAGCTTACCTTTTGTTAAATGTCACATATATTGTTAATTTTGGTTTTGATTCTTCTTGTAAGGTTTGGACAATCCTCCACTTTTGAGCTATCTTTAAGGTCCATTCCATGTCTAATAGTAGTTGTGAAACTGATTTTCTACTTTGGATTCTTTAGAGCAATGCAATTTCATTGTACTCCTTGTGACTGCATGGCTATGACGTTTGATAGCATCACTTTCCAAAGGAATATGTGTCTGTGACTAAATGATAGCTAGTCTTGATTAGACATAAGATAAACTGATTAATATGTATACCAAATTTTTGCACAAGAAAATGGGAGTCTTGTGCTTTGGTTATTTTAGTATGAGTTATTACTGTTCTGTTATTTTTACTTGCCAACACCAAGTGTCTGCATCTTATGAGCTAGGTTTTGATTATCAGAAAAAGCTGCTTCATAACTGTGAAATCTTGTAAAAGCAACCTTATGGTGCATATAATTGCAACTAAGTGCACATATTTTTCGTTTGTGATTCTTATTGTTCATTGAAAATATTTTCACATGATATGCTACTTGCTCGTGTTCTATACAATATCAACTAATCTGCATTTATATAACTGTGTAAAATTACAAAAATTACATGACAAGACTCGTGCCTATCTTCATTTATATTTTTCATTTGTTTTTAAGGAGAACGGTTTTTCTTTCTTGTAGCTAAACAAATATTTTCATTTTTTTTTTATTACTTTTAAGAATCAATTCCCCCACTTTATATTTGTGTCCCCAATACGGGAATATTAGATTCCCACCCTTTTCCATTTACTTTCAGACTCGTGCCCTCATATTCACCCAATCCAAACTGAGAGCCAAATTGTCTAAAGAATGCAACAAAGCTGTTGTAGGAGAAATGAAAACAAAAACAATGTTTAAATTTTGGCATTTAAAAAGGAGAGAAAATAAATGGTGAAGAGATCTTGTACGAACTTAATAAAGAGCTGATAGTGACCAGAGAAAATGGGTAAAACTACGATTACTAAGAAAAACCGAGTTATATGATATCCCTTTACAATCGTCAAAAGCCCATTTATAGCCAGAGATGTAACACAAAACGACAAAAGTTGAGTGAATAGTGAATTAAAAAACACTACACACTGGTGTCTGGTGGATATATGCAGTTCTTCATTAATTTAATCATCGTTTTTTACCTCTAACAAAGATGTATGGTACCTACCTATGCTCATAAAAAAATGATACATTGTGTGCTGATCACTGAAACAATAACCTTCTTTGAATCTTTGATCCTGTGCTGTAAATGACTAGTTGATGCTTGTATAATTTCTATCTCATGCCTGGTGTTTCAATTTTCCAGATTGGTGTAATGGTATATCCTATAATGTTATGTTAATTTAACTTAGAAGCCTCTAATATAGTTTTTTTACACAAAGGTGCTCTTTCTAGAACTTATATCTAGTTTTATGTGAATATCTGTGCTTGTCTTGTTGCATATTTCAACATATGTTGCCAATTTGATGTGGCAGTTATTACATGGTTGAGTTACTTACACTTGTTGACTCAACACAGATCCTGATAGACCAAAGAATGACAAGGCAACCATCCTTACTGAGACCGTCCAAATGCTAAAGGACTTAACCGCAGAGGTGAATAGGCTGAAAAAGGAGCATAAAGCACTTTCGGAAGAGTCACGCGAAGTAAGGTTCTTATTTGTTTAAATTTTGATCACAAGATTACAGGCCTCAGTTGATTTTATATTCACAGTTAATGCAAGAAAAGAATGAACTGAGAGAAGAGAAGACATCTTTAAAATCTGAAATAGAAAGTCTTAATGGGCAGTATGAGCAGAGAGTGAGAATCATGTTTCCATGGACTGCAATTGACCACTCTGTTGTCATGAGTTCACCTTACTCATATCCAGTTCCCATACCAATCTCTCCTGGTCCAATATCCATTCACCCAGCTCTTCAACCTTTTCCTTTCTTTGGAAATCAAAATCCTGGTCACGTACCTAACCCTTGTTCAATGTATGTCCCATATCCTACTCCAACTAACCCACTGGGAGAGATTCCACCAGCTCAGTATGCTTCCACATCCGTCTCTAACCAAAAAGAATCACCAAGCAAGTCACCAATTTATAGAAGGCCCATTGATGCCGAAAGATGTAGCACGTCTCACGATGTGGCCACAGAGCTTGAACTTAAGATGCCGGGCTCATCGTCAACACAACAGGTACAATATGTAAATTTAGAAAAATGGGCAAAATATATTTTTAGTGACTACAGATAAATTTGGATTTAGACATGGTTACTCTTGTGTCACCTCAGCATGGTCGCTAATGCGGCATTGTTTAGATGCATTCCACACCTCCACTAAATTTTGCATGGACCATTTGCTTAAAAATTCAAAATTTATAGGGATCAAAACCAATACATTTTAAGGCACTAAAACCAAACTTAACCATATTTATGAAGACTAAAAGCATATTTAAGCCTTTAAAAAAATCAATGCCCAAACTAACAACCTGCATTTTATTTTTTTTGTAGGATTGCAGTTCTGGAGAAAGAAAAGGCAAGCATTCAGTGATGAAGGATAAAATCATCACAGATGGGAGTGCTTCAAGCCAGTATTCTTCATCTCAAGGACTTCAAGATAGCTCCAACAGCGTGGGAGACAACCCAAAGACTGATAATTGATATTATATATGGATTCTTGTACCGTTTATCCACATCATATATGCTTAGTAATGCTTATTCCTTGGTCTGAGTTTTGGCAATAGATTACATCATTTCTAAAACAAAATGATTATGATTCTTACCCACTTTCTTTTCTGTAGTACCTTGGGCAGCTGAAAGATGATGCTTGGTCTAGATGTATGTATTCCTTGGTTAACCACTACAGTTTACAGCATCATAACCCAATATGGAGGTTACAAACCTCACACAGTAACCCACCTTTGAGCCATCTTAGTGCTGTAAGAACCTCTCCGACAATGTAAATATAGCTTAGCATGTGAGGACTATGAATTATCAATATAGTTATTGCAAAACTTTGTGAGTTGTTCTAAATTTGACTTTTTCTTTGCCATGTTTCATTATTTTCTTGGACTTGGGACCAATGCCTTATACCCTGTTTGGTTAAAAACACAAAATTGAAATTACACGATATCCAACTCTTGGCTAAGTATCAAGTTTGTTCCAAGAGAAATATTTTTCAATGTGAGTTAACTGCAGTTACTATATAGTGGCCTAAGATAAAAAGTTTAAATAACTACCCACTAATTAAACTTAAAATTAAGTTAATTAATACATTGATTCTAATACTTAATGGATGTATTAGATTAACTTAAAACATATTTAATTAATTGGTCTTCTCTCTGCCCAAAACAACACGTTTATTTTCTACTCATGATTCCAGAAAAATACCATCATTGTGAGTGTGCGTGCGAAAGAGAGAGAAGGAAGAGAAACTGATTATCTGCAACTTTACTATCAAGGTTCTTGAAGAAGATAATGACTTATTCGTCTAATTCGGGTATCAAAAGCCATAACTGCTAAGATATCAATTAGTTTTGTATAGCTCCGCTAAATGTTCTATATGTGGTATAATAATGTGTTGTACATTTTTTTTTTTCTTTCTCCCCTAATAATAATTTTTTTTTCTATTAATAAACTTTTAATTGAAGGTGTCGAAGATGTAAAGATTATTTCAGTTTTATTTTAAATACAACGAATTGTTTCGTTATTATTATTGTTATAATTGGATAAGTATTTTTTGGGTGTCTACTTATTATACAATTATAGAAAAGCCATATATTTTGTCTATTGTTTGCAGTTGTCCAGCATCTTTAATGCCAACGTATGCATAATCATTGAAATTCTTAGTACGATGATTTATGCCCCTTAAAGTACTTTAATTGTTATTTAATTAGTGGGATTTAGATTTGTCAGAGAAAAATCTTATTCTATGATTAATAAACATAATTGTGAGAAATTAAAATTCTTGAAATCAAATATACATCTTTGTCCAAAAATAATGTATGTGTGTTTAGTTAAAAAAAATTAATTTTCAATAATGATAAAAGTGGCATTTATTTATGTTAGTGTTGTGTCATATTTCGACAAATATATATATATTTTTTTATCCCTATACGTTTTGAATGATAGATTCAAAAATTGTAAGTACAAATGTTATACACCAATATACTAGAAAATAACTCTAAAAGAAAATTTTAGGGACTGAAACTAAAATCTTGCAAAAATATATGGATCATGAAAAATGTGTAAGATATAATTTTTGTTAAAATTATATATTTTTTTATGAAATTTTTTTTATAAAATTCTTATTTAAGATTTTTTTATAACTTTCATTTCCTTTAGACAATAATTTTTTAATTTGATTAAAATTTTAAATCTAGATATTATATGAGATAAACAATAATTTTTTAGATAAATTAAATTTTAAATTTTGACATTGTATATCAATAAATAATAATGATAATTTCAATAATTTATTTATTTAAATTCTTCACAATTTTAAAAATATTTTTTAAGCTTAATTTATAAAATATCTTTAAAAAATAATTTTTTATTTAAAAAATGAAATATTTATTATATTTGAAATATAAAATTTAGATTATTACTCAAAATTTTAAAAAAATAACTTTATTATATAAATAAATTCATAAATTTTCTATCATAATAAAAGAAAATAATTTTTATATATAAATTCAAAATCTCATTAGTTAATTTTTTGTTATTTTCTTTAGCAATTAGATAATATATAGAGAGAGAAAGAGAGGGACATATTTAGTTTTTTTTTTTTTTTGTCCTATTATATCGACTAAGAAAGACTAGTATGCTTAAAAAAAATTTTAACAGTAATAAAAAGATAAAACTATTTATCATGTGTAAATTATTCTTAGTATTTTATTTACTATAGTTATCAGTTTTTGATTGATTTATTTATTTATCAAATCAATAAGTTTTAGCAATAAATATATATAATCTTAAATCATAAATTATTTTACTTAAATATGAGTTTTTAGTAAATTTAAAATTCATGATTCTTTTATTTGGTGGTTTATTTTTAATTTATTTTAGACAAATTCACCAAAAATATTTTTTTATTTTTGGTTAAAGTATGTTTTTAATCTATAGTTAATATTTGTTACAAGTCAATTTCTACTCTTAAAAAAATTATATTTTAGTCATTGTACAAGTACTTTATTATGTTTTAGACCATATTTTTATAACATTGTTAACACGATTAACAATAGTGATTAAAATGTAATAAAATGGTCATGTAAGGACTAAAATATAATTTTTTTAAATATATAGACTATTTTTTTTAGATAAGTGTCAACTGTAGAGACTAAATATATAATTTAACATATAATAAATATTTGACTTGACAATGATTTTTATGAGTTCTTCCAAAATTAGTAGAAGCATACCAAGGTTGTAGCTCTCGCTTCTTTCCTTTGTGTCCATACCACCTTCTTCATTGGCATCTAGTCCTCACTCTAATTCAAATGGCTCCTTCTCAAAAACCCTTTCATAATCGTGACTCTCGACCACCTTCTCTTTGCCTCACTCCATATTTATGTCCCCTCCATCTTCACTTGGCCCTCCATTATCATTATGAGAATTAACAAATCGGTCTACTACATATTCGCCTTCATCTGCTTCTTTTACTAACTCTTCTTCTTCTTTCAAGAGGAAAACATGAATCAAAATACCACAAAGGAGAGGTTCTACATAATAGCTTCATCATTGGTCCTTTTCAAAGCTACATACACACTCTCCATTTTCTCTTTCTTTCCACCTTGCCTCTTATTACTCCCCTGCTTCATTTTGCAACTTACTCCTCTTCCTTTTTATTCCTTTCCTCTTTCAGCTTTAAGTCTCCACTAGGAGTCATTTTGGTGGCTCACTAACAACTCCAACCAACTTCATAACATTCGTGTTATTAATGATGTTATTGTCTTAGTCTTCCTCGTAGTTATTTTGGAGATTATGGTCATTTTTCATTCCTTTGAAAGGTATATTCAAGTGACCTCACCTCTGAACTGTGTTCTTGTTAGCATCACCATGCTTAGAGGTGTAACACCTTAAATTTTATTTTAAAATAAAAATTTCACAAAATGGGAATAATAAAATTTTTATTTAAATATATTTTGCCAACATATATATTTCATCAAAGTGTTTCAAAATAATAAGGGTTTACAAATTTATATCAAGTAATTGCTACAACACTAATTCAATTACATCATAATTTCAAAATAAACACAGTCTAAGCCCTATAACAATATCATCCATTTTTTCACTGAACTCGGTGCTGATCATCTTGGTCACTTGAAAAATAAATGTAAGGCTGAGTACTCTACACTATCCAACACACACAAGCAAGCATAGAGTCTCACCTTGCATATTTCACATGTTTTCTAACACAATTGAAATCAAGCATTCACAACCACAATTAACATTTCATTTCAATTCACATCAAGGTATTTCTACTGCCCCATCTTCCATACCCACCGTGTATCGCTGAACCATTCATAGCATATTCACAACTACATTTAACATGCCCTTCACACACATTTTCAACCATATTCTCAGTCACACACAATATTCATATTTATACACGGCACATATGCCCATGTTCACTCACATCACATTTAAACATTGAATCCTCATCTGACTTCATCACAATCAAATCACTACATCATCCGCAATATACTCAATATCCATCATAGTCAAACCATTCCATCACACATAACACCCAACAATTACTATATCGTATTTCATACAAAATTTCCACCCAAACACACAATTTCCTACCTTCTATCTCAACTACATTGCAATACATAGCAAAATAAACGGCATTCAAACACGACGAGATATGGTAGAGTCTTCCCTTATCTCAAATTGAAGATCCAAACACGAAATCCACAAGGAAGGTGCTCCCCACACAAATTTTGCCCTAAACACATGGAAGAATCCCATGAGAACCAAAGGAAACCCAAGAAAACAAAGAATGGGAGTGAGAAACCAACCCTAACCGTTAAAACTTACCTCCAAATGCCCCAAACTCGTTTTGAACCTTCAATCTTACTCCCAAATAGCTTTGGAGGCAATTTAATCGGTAAAAATGAGTTTTTAGTTGAGAGAATTGAAAGGGAAATGAAGAGAGAAGAGTGGAAATGCGATTCCCAAATCCTAGACACTTCAAATACTCATCTAGTCGCGACACTCTCGCTACAGTGAGATATTCTCGTTGTAGTGACACTCCCTTTCGCTATAGCGAAAATCTCAGAGAAAATTGCACTCTGGTTTCTGCAGAATCTCGCTACAGCAAGACTGCACCTAGAAATGCACTCCTCAATGTCTCTCTCTCTGCAGCGAGGGACCTCTCGCTATAGTGAGAAGGCGACAGTTTCATGCTCTTCTCTCAAGGTCTTCTCGCTACAGCGAGACCCCTCTTGCTACAGCGAAAACACTGCAGTACTACACATTTAACCTATATATTCCATTAATCCAAAATTCACACTCATCCTTTAATCACATTATACAAACATACACATATCTTCATGTATTTACACAGATATTCTTGCCACCATTCAATACTCATTATCATCGTATAATTCAAACACACGACACATAATAATCCACATATATTTATATTAATAATTCAAACTTTATTATTACAAAATTCGAGGTGTTACAAAAGGGGGCTACTGCTAGTGGTACCTATGCCAATGCCATGGGTATGGTTTCTAAGCTCTTAGCTTTGTTGTTTTTATCACTTTCTCCATTGCCGTCAATGTTGTCAAAGTTATTGTTGTGGGTTTTCTATTACTAGTAAGTTATTTAGTACTTGTTTTTTGAAACATTCCCAATGCGACCAATAATCTTCATTTCCTTCGATACTTCTTAGTATGAATATTTTTTAATAATTTCATAAAATTTTTCTGCAATTTTGTCTATACATGACGATGACTTTCGTGATTTAATATACATATAAGTTTGATTTAGACAAGACCACAAAAAAATATTTAAAAA